TGTCCTTAGATTACCATGGAACGTACTAGGTTCTTTTAATACATCTGTTTATCTGTTTTTTGAGTTAGCGTGAGTGGGTCTCTGTTACTTGCAACCTGAAGAGCCCAAAGCAAGGAGCACAAGACGTTATTTCTGAAGCAGAATAACACACGCTCTCAGGATGCCATTTGTACACTATTATGCTAAGCAATAATAGCAGATAGGAACAACACAGGCAAGTTGACATAGCTGTGAGAGCTGACTTTTGTATCAAGTATTTAAGTTTGTACCTTTAAAATGATCTTGCCACAGGATTTTCCATTTTATTTCCTGGTTTCTTACAAAGAAAGGAGGGAAAGGGGTCACAATGGAAGGCATCTCCTGACACATAATAGACCTGCTTTACAACACTAATTCTAGCATACACTACCCAGAGTCTATAATTTGCAGATGTGTAAAGGTAGATATTAACATGCTAAATAAGCAGCAAAGAGGCATGCTTCAGGGTTCTATACATTCAAGTAATGTTATGCAAGATGCCCCGACTTTTACACGTTTATACAACTGTCTAGTCAAAAATAAAAATATTGTCCCTGCCCTTTTACATAAAAGTTTTCTGTAGTCTGTCTCAAGAGATCTAAGTATGGGATCAGTGTTAGTCCATTAAGGCTTGTTAAGGCTGTAAAACACACACACACATGCACGCATAGGCACACGCACACAAGGTCATTTGGACTGGACATCTGACTATGCTGAAACCATGTAGGATCTTCACAGCTGAGAACATCATTAGTAGAGCTGTCACTAAAACCCAGAACCTCTTCTTTCTCTACACCAAACTTCTTAAAACAAAAGGAAGGAAAAAATAATAGATATAGAGATGCTGAGTTAGAAGATTAACTGAGAAATCTCAGAGGATAATGGGAGAAGGTAGAAAGCACTGCAAAAACAGCAACTACTCTATGAAGAGGAAGGGTGCAGTTAGACCTCACTCAGAGTAAAAGGAAGCTGACATCTGTTTCTTCCTTTCCTTGGCAACTCTAGGGAGTATTGGAAAGAAGAGCTGGTGAGGCCTGGGCCTCTTGAGACTTTCTGATTGTTCCTGAGGTATTTGGGGATGGAGTTTCCCATGCCTTTTAGCTAAAAGACACAGAAGAATTTTCAGGTCTTTTGACCTTTGGTGTTCTCTGCCCTGTTTGTTCTGACTCAGTCTTATTTTGAGCTAGAAAGAGCTCCTGCTTAGGTATTATGACATCCAGAAAATCAAGAGTAGGACCCATAGGAAATAAAGCAGAAAGCTCACCTTAAATTTGCTTTAGTGTATAGGGAGAATAGAGACCTTCAGGTTTCCTTCTGGATTGTGTAGCCCATTTTTCCATGGTAGGAAAAGTAACTGATTTAAGGTCAACTCCCCACTAAAGAATAAAGATTATATACACATGGCTGGAAAAACCATTTAAATATACAGATTATGAGTGCCACAGATTAGACATAGGAAGGACTCCAATAACACTGACACAGAGGGCAGGATAGAGGCTACTACTGTCAGGTACTGAATTCATCCAGGAAGGTTGTGGGTAATGGGCATTAGTGTTAGAGTTGGAAAAATACACAAATACTATGGATTTCATCAAGACAAAGATTATTCACAATATTTGCAGTTGTATGCCAATGTGTAAATCTGGAGTGAATTCAAATATACAAAACAATGTTCTCACTGGGTTATGAAAAAGTAAATTTTATTCTCTCTTTTCCCACATTTTCTAAATTTTCTTCAATGAGCACTTTTATTATTTTTGTAAGATGGTATCAGTCCTCTTAACTGTCCCAACTGGGAACAGGAGCTGGATGATTAACAAAAATACTGGATAAAACAGAAAACCATAAAATGTGATTACTATTATAAACATTAACTTAAAATGTACATTTGAATATACAATTTATTCTTCTGCCAATCTTCTCATATAAGGCCAAAGCCTTTTCTTTATTTTTTTCTTTTGGACAGGTTAAATTAAGCTTTATTTGTTCTCTCTCATTTTACAATAATCTCTTGTAAATGTCTTTTGTAAACAGCAGTGCATGTATATGGGGTGTGTGATACAAAATTTTAAATCAATTGTTTTTTCCACACAAATTCTGGTTGTAAAGTATCAACATATCATATGAGAGTTCTCCTAATTTAAAACAAAAAAAATCACCTTAAGTTTCCTAATGCTGTGGATCAATTGTGTCCCCCAAAATTCATATATTAGAAGCTTAATCCCCACTGTAACTGTTGAGGGTGGGAAATCCTATTACGGTAATTGAAAGGTGGGGCCTTGAAGAGGTGATTAGATTGCAGGACCATGCAGTAGTGAATGGATTAGTAACGGTGGTCAGGGTCACGGTTCTGAGGGCTTTAAAGGAGAGTACATGAGGAACTCTCTCTCTGCTCTGCCATTTTCTGCTATGTGAGACCTCAGCATTGCTGTAAAGCCACCACCAAAGAAGACCATCACCAGACATGTTCCCTGAACTTTGGACTTCCCAGCCTCTGAAACTGTAAGCAATAAATTTTGTCTTCTTACAAAATACCCAGTTCCAGGTATTTAGTTATAAGCAACAGAAATGGACTAATATACTTATCTAGTTGTACTGGTTCTCAGTTAAAATCTCCCTAAAAATTAGTAAGATTTTATTTGTGAAGAAACAATGAGATGATAAAAATGAGTGTTTTTAATACTTTATCATGAAGAATTCCAAACATATATCAAAGTACAGAGCATGGTATAATGAATCCCCATGTGCCCATCAATAGCCTCAACAATTTTCAACATATGCCCAATCTTTTTCACTCCCCTTTTTCTGTATAATTTTGAAGCAAATCCCACATGTCATTTCATATCATGTGTAAAATATTTTTAAATACCTCTCCAAAGCTAGGATTCCTTTTAAAAAAAGCATAACCACAGTACAAATATCACTCCTAAAAAATTAACATTATTTCTTAGTTTTAAATATCCAGTGTTCAAATTTTCAATTGTCTTATAAAAATCTGAAGTGACTTTTAAAAATATTTTAAAATTTATGCCGGAGATGAAAGTAAAGGCACCAACCTATTATATAATCAATGGCATAAGTGAGAAGCCAAATGACTTATCTGACACCCAAGGACTACTGCTAGAAAACCTGTCTACAGCCTTACTGTGTGCTAGCACTGCTTTAGGGACTCTACATATATTAACTCATTTAACCCCATGATACAGGCAAATTACCAATAGCACCATTTTACAGATGAAGAAACTGAGGCTCAGGGCTGACCAGTTAGCTCAGCTGGTTAGAGCGTGGTGCTGATAACATAAAGGTCCAGGGTTCAATCTCTGCAATGGCCAGCTGCCCCCCACAAAAAGATACTGAGGCCCAGAGAGGTTACATAACATATCCAAGGTCATCCAGCTAGCCCAAATGCCCATCAGCTGATAAATAAATAAAAAGTGTTATATCCATACAATGAAATAGTTTTTGGCCATAAAAAGGAATAAAATACTAATAGATGCTACAGCATGGCTGACCCTTGAAAACATGATGTTAAGTGAAAGAAGCCAGTCACTGAAGACCACATATTGTATGATTTTGTTCATATATGTACAGAATAGGAAAATCTATATAGACACAGAATGTAGATTAGTGGTTGCCTAGGGCTGGCAGGAAGGGTATTAGGGAGTGACTATTAAGGGTACAGGGTTTCTTTTCGGGGCGATGAAAATGTTCTAAAATTGGATTGTGATGATGGCTGCACAACCCTGTGAATATACTAAAAACCAACAAACTATGCACTTTAAATGGGTGAATTTTATGATATGAGAATTATATCTCAATAAAACTGGTTTTTTTAAGTAAATTATCAAATGGCTTAAAATTCATCAAGCCAAGTAATATTTATTGATCATCTACACAGGCACTACACTAGGTTCCATGCAAGTTACAAAACAAGTGTAAGACACAAACCCTGACCTCAAATTGGTTATGGTGCAAGAGAAAAGACACACATGCAATATATTATAATGCACCCTCACTTTCTGAATTTGTGCCTTTTTCTCGCAAGGGTACTCAATTGTTTGACCCAGGTTTTCTGATTCATAAAAGGCATTGGGCTAGGGCCTAATGAAGATACAAGTTATGAGAAGACTGACCCTTACCCCCCTGCCCCTGGAGACCTGCAGAGGTTATGATCAACCACAGGGTTACCTTGTCAGAGAGCAACCCATAAGATTCTTAGGGAACTAAGGCTGGGCCTATTCATCTTATAACTGAAATAATGTGGGTAAATGTTTTCTAACTACACAGAGGCAACTCAACAACTCTAGGCTGAGCTAAGACCAACAGGCCTGGGTCCTCGAACCTTGGTTTAGGAATGCCCCAGGCAAACAAATTGCATAGGTTTTCCTTAGCTATGGCTGCTGAAGAGCAACAAAGATCCTTGATGAAGACCAGGGAGACCTGTGGTCATGAAAGCTGCTGTTTAAATTTGAAGTGCCCAGGTACCAAGGTACTTATGGCTACAGGGCTTGGTGTTACCCTGAGGCCACCAGAACAGTGTCTAGCTCAATGTGCAAAGCACCCATGAAGCTCACATGCCACATAGATTCTAAAACCAGGGTGCACAATAGAAAGATGTTTAACTTTTACAAACATATGAATTCAGCTTCATTTTATAACAAGGGTTTGCATTCTCTGAAACTTTCAGATAATGCTAGCAATCAAAACTTAGAATCTTACTTAAATGTTTATTGTTCGAGACAGAATTACAAGTAAAACCCTAATCAATGAAGTAGAAACCCACATTTTGAGCATTACAAATTCTGCATCTTTTCTTGAACTGCCTAGAAAGAACATTTCATATTTGGATCAAGTGGCCTGGGCCCAGAGTGGCCTGATGAATCAGCACAGAACACAGCAACATGACCCTATGGCCAAGCTGCCTCAAATAAACCACAATCCTATTTGAACTACAATCGAGAACATTCCATTAGTCTCCTTACCTTTCACCACATCAGCCACATTACAGTTGGGATCAATACTTCCTATGTGTTTAGGATGAGCAGGATTAGTGTCATCACCAAACAGAAGTGCTAAGCAAACACAAGAAAGAAGGGAGGAGATTAAAACACAGAAGGCTGGGATGGTCAAACCGAGAAATATAGGGGTTTGTAAGTTTTAAAAGGATCTGTAATTTGTGAGAATCATTTTAACACCCACAGAGACTCAGAGCAATGGAATACCCATAATACTGGCCAATGAAGGAAGAAGGATGTGCTTTAAGACATGTCAGTTGTGGTCAGCAGGTCCTAAAGCAGTGAAATATGCTCTTTCTCCCCAACTCAGTAACGTGGATGAAGAACTTACTTTCATCTGTAGCCAAGTTTACCCACCTTCTCAGTAATACTACATTTATTCTGACATTTGGTAAGTATTTACAACACACAGTCTGTACCATTTGATTTGCTTTTTTGTTGTTGTTGTTGTTGTTAGTTTTTTTAGTTTTATTTTTTGGTAGCTGGCCAGTACGGGGATGCAAATCCTCAACCTTGGTGTTACAAGGCTGCACTCTAACCAACTGAGCTAACCGGCCAGCCCACCCACAGTCTGTACCATTTGGACAGGCCTACAGAGTGTCTTCCCTGGCAGTGTTTCAAATGCCTCCATCACAGAGATTGTTTTTCAATGCTGTGTACACAAACAATATTTGATCATGTATTTTAAAAAACACATTCAGAAAATTTCACAAAACACAAGATTTGCAAAATTCTATTTCTGAATAAAAGCCAAAAGAAGCCCCAAAGAAAAAAAGCAATCTGAATCTAAATGTTTACAGGTGTACTTATTTTTAAATCAAGCAAAAATTGGGTATAACTTAGATTCCACTAAAGGAGAATGCCCAAATAAAAATAGGGGGGATTTTAAATAACAAAAAATGATAAATACAGGCACTAGGCCAATATATAAAGTTCCAAATGATTAAGTGGAAGACAAATAGAGGTATATAAGCTTAATCAACGATCTAAAAACATGTACATATATATATGTATATGCATTATTTAAATCAAAAAGAAACTGGAGTTATCTAAGTAGCTTAGCTGAAAGTATTTAGGTTCTTTTTTCCTGTAAATTTCCTGTAATTTGTCATATATTTTTGTTTTTTAAAGATATGCATTTCAAATAAACCCACATTTAATAGTTGCATAGCATTCACTTATCCTAATCAATCAAATTAGTAAAATAAATATGCTCTGTCCACTTTCTGAATCAGCAAAGAGGATGAATTAGGCTCTAGACATGTGGATGCTCTTTCTTAAGAATTATAAAATCAGTCAGAGACAATGCTGAAAATAAGCAAAAAGTTTTTTGTGTGGAGAGAGTTTTAGTTGGTTTCTTTTTCTATCTGCTTATCACCGTAGAGAGTGGACTAAAATTCTCAGTACGGGATTATGAACTGACAATCTCAATCTGATTTCACTGATCACTGTGAAATAAATGATTGATTGCTCATATTACCAACATGCCAATTCAATGTTCCCAGTATCCATGATTTTAAAACTAAAAAGGAAAACACATAACATCCTGGATAAAATAGAATATACTCTAAGACACATGAATACCCAGCTGACATTAAAATGGGTCCCTCGTCCCCACCAGGAATGTAACAGCAGAGGCTTAAAAGGCAAGCAGTGGTCCTGCCTCTAATATGAGCATCATAAAAGCCTCGCAAGGATTTCTTTTAACCAAGAATACTAATTAATAGCTTTTTAATAGATAGGATTCACTTAGGAAACACAACTAGAAATGAAATTTCTACAGCCAAAAATGCAGGTTAGCAAATTTAAAAGTGAAGCAACAGGAAAATATCTGGGAGAAATCACTCTGTTACCTTTTCAAAACCAGACCAATAAAGTTCAACTTACTGTGCTGGTTAATAAGCATACGGAAAGAGATGCGGTTGGTGTAAAACCGATCCAGAAAATATTGGATGTTACTGCTAATGGAGGGATCAAACCCGAACTTCTCCTTGTACTCAATCACTCCTTGTGCCATGGTAGGAACCACATCATTGTGTCTATTTCTGACTTTAACCAGAACTTGTAGAAAGCTGTGTGGGAGGGAAACAAAACCTGGTCACTCTCCATATCTCCTGGGCTGATGCACAACTTCCCAGCTCCACCCCCAGACTAGTTGCTGGTATTTTTATAGGCAGAGACATTATTCTCATCACGTAATACAAGGAAGTACTCACAAGAAACTAAACTATAGGTATTACCCAAGATTTTGCTTGAAACTTTCTTTCTACATAAACTCTTCCTTCAGAGATGCAAAAAGAAAAAGGTTCTACGTAAAGAAAAAAAATGCTCAAATACCTTTTTTAGAAATCCACTGGCTTTTTGGATAAGTGATTACATATAATACAGGTTCTATAAATGTTTGCTGAATATAGAATTACAGAATATATCAATATTTCTTCTGACAACATGAAGACAATCCCCCCAAATCTCCAAGGATTTATTAATGGAGTCTCAAAGCAATAGCTTCCATGAATAAAGAAATAATGTCAAACTTTTTAAGAGTAAAATATTGAAATAAATTTCTCACAGCAGTAAAATATAGTGATGAAATGTAGCTAGAACAAAGGCAATTAAAATAAACTTATTCAAATGTTCTGTCATATTATTGTAAAGATGCATAGGGGAAAATATATTAAGAAATGGTAACTAAGAATAGAAAGATAAGTCAGTCAAGGAACCAGATAAAAAGTTTGGAACCAGACTCAACAGTGAGTGAGTATGTATGTATCAAAATTTAGCTCATTGAGAAACTGACATTGCAAGTCAGTAGGGAAATAACCAAATAAATAATCAAATTAATTGGGACACCAGGCTAACAATTTAAGTCATATCCCAATTTCAAGCCTTAAGCCAAAAAACAGATTAAAAATGTAAAAGGGTGAAGTCGTAGAAACATAAAAGAAAACCAGGTGAATAAGTATATAGCCTTGGGGTGAGGAAGGCTGTTCTAAGCTTAACACCAAAGGCAGAAACAAACGATAGGAAGAAACAAGTGACATGACTATGTAGAATTTTAGCAATTCTATAAGAACATGCATTATAAATATGCTTACATTTATAAATATTATAAATAAAGTCAAATAACTGGGAAACTGGGAAAAACATATTTGCAAGAGTTATTATCCATAATAAAGGAAAAGAGGAGCACCCTAACAGAAAACGAGGCAAAGGATCCGATATCAATGGAAAATTTACCAAAGAGAAACCCAAATGCCAATAATTTCACCCTCAAAAATAAGAAAAGTAAATTAAAATAATGTGATCCTATTCTCCACTTATCAGATGGGCAAAGAATAACGAGTGTCAGCTAGGCTGTGGGAACTTAACAGATGGATTTCTAGGGCAATTTAACAACATATATCAAAAGCCTGAAGAAAATAATTCTATTTACAGGAACTGATCCTAAGAAAATAACTGGACAAGGTGAGCGGCTATATTTAAAAGCTGTTCTTTACAGTACTGCTTGTAGTAGCAAGAAAACTACAAATCAGTCTAAAATCCAATGACAGGAGGTCAAATTGTATGACCTTTCCCTAGATGGACTGTTTATATGAATATTATGAGACTACCACGGTACTTCAAAAAGTTTATGGAAAAATACAATTAAAAGATAATATGAATCTTTCTATGAATTTTTTGAAGTACGCTCATGTTAACAATGATGTAGATCTAATAATGTAGACACTGTTAGTTTTGTAAAAAATATTTTATGCATATAAAAATACACATGCATAAGAAAAAGTATGAACAGAAGAAAAATGTTAACAGTGGTTGTTCCCTGTTAGTGGAAATTCAGTGTGACTTTCTTTTTACTCATCTGAATAGTCTTATTTTTCTCAATGATGAAATATTTCTGTAACAAATATATACATGCAATGATAATTAAGATGAATAAATCAACTCTGAAATTAAAAGGCCTTAATTATCCACAAGAAATTTTATAATGAACAATTTGTCCTTTACATAATTCTCTTTCCAATGCATTTATAAACTAAATATTACTACAGTAAAACAATTCATTATAGTAGAGAAGTGCCTCCACTTATCTGAAGAGAAGAGACTTACCTCAATGATTCAATTCTCAGAATACCTCCAGGCTCTTCTAAACTCTGTCATGATCAACATGCTTGTCCTCTAAACTACTATCACTTTACTGGAATGACTTCCCCGCTGGTGATCCCATATAACCTCTTGCTGAACAGAAAAGGCTGCTACCATGATACTCACCTTTCACTCCTTCCTTCATGAAGAACATCAGGCTTCTCAAATTCCAACTATCCTAACTATCCACGTGAACCCGGGCAAGTTAGCAAAACCCACTGAGTGAGAGCTATTAGCACAATGATCTGGCACCTACTGGATTCAGCGCTGGCAGTTTACAAAGCAGGCTCATGTCCATAAATTGCATCTAACTAATAACTTACCTGTTCCAGAAACTGAAACAGGATTCCAGGAAAAACACGGCAGAAATTTAATATCGTGTACTTCCACAAATCTATGTCTTAAATTTGGAGCTAGAGAGGTCAGTCATAATTTTTACGATTTCAGCCAAAGAAACTTTTACCAGCTAATAACTTGAAAAGACAAAGCTCCTGGTTTTAGATTCATTTACTATCGATACCTTTAATGACGATAGTGGCTTATATCAAGGAAAACACTGCATCTGGGGCTCTAACCTAATGCTTCCCTTTCCACGTTCCACAGAACTGTTAGATAAAACACTTAGCAAAGTATAAAACAGGCCAAGGCTTTTTTTTTTTTTTAAATCTCCTTTATATTTTAATTTACAACTAAACTTGAGCTAGCTACTCATAGCTCAAACTGGCAACCCTGGCAGTATGGCACATTGTAAAAAACAGTGTGCTAGGGAAAAGGCAACATGACTTATAAATCCAGCTCTGCTACAACTGTTATAATCTTGGGCAAGTCACTTCATATCTCTGACCTCAGCTTCCTTCTCTGTAAATTCAGAGGACTGGGTTAAATACCTCCTAAGGTAGCTTGGATAACATGGTATTTCCCTAGTTCTTTTTATGGAGCACGTATATGTCAGGTGTTCAGTATCACAAATACATGACTAGGTTATACCTAGAAAGAAATTCCTCAGCACAACAGGCCTGCCATATGCATTCATTCATGTATACGTGAAACAGGAGGAAATCAATGTGAAGGGGAAACTTAATTTCTCTTGGGGGAAAAAACCACACTCACAGCTAGGGTTAGTGTTTCTTGGCTAAATAAAAATAAAAAATAGAAATATTTTCCATTAGCCTGAGAATTTAGCAGTCTTTGTGCATAAAAGCAGCAACAGAATTCAGGTTGTTATATAAAAAGCACACTTTTTTATGCTTCTCCAAAATAAAACCATTACAGTTTTTCTGAGCTCAAATGTAATATTACATTCACAATTAAAAAAAAAAAATGTAAAGGATTGAGTAGACAAATTCATGTACATACAGAGCCCACTGCATTCTTAAAACTACCACTAGATGGAACATTTACTGCAATATTTATAGTGAGCGCCCAGTTCACCTTGAGTAAGTGTTTTAGAATTAGGTCATGAAGATAATTTGAAGTGTCATTATTCCTTCTGTATTATGTTAAATTCTTAACTCAAATTTTAAAAGATGCAATGTCGAGTCATTACCCATTAAGAAAACAATGCTTTTGTCCCAATTATACTTCTTGGGTGTTAATAACATGAGTTTGATTTACCCAAACATTTTTTACCTTGATATTTTTACTTTCAGGTAAATGATACCATACTTACTTATCCAACACCTTTGGATCCTCAGGGCTCTTATTTTCATATTCTAGAAGTTCAACGAAACTCTGCATATACCTAAAAAAGAAGAGGTACTGTGTTAGGGGCTTACCCAAGATCCATTCCTCCTTTTCCTCTTCCTAAGAGCACTCCAAATTTTTACTCCGGTCTCCATCCCATCCCTCCACGCAGCTCAAGTGTTCCAGGGGAAGCTGATGCCTCCAAAGCTCCTGGGTAGCCCCATTTTTCTCTGGGTAATCCTATTTCTCTTGTCACTAATTATTAATAAATCCACTAGTCCAGGTCTAAGTCTATCACTGCATGCGTTCCCCACAAACACAGCGATTGGCTGAGGAATGGGCATACTGCCTCAATTCAGGCCGGTAAAAATAAGAGAGAAGACTTGCTGGAGGACTCTGGGAGAGAAATCAACTTGCTCTGCTTTTGTACAGTATGCTGTATGGATGTGAAGCCTGGAAATGCTACAGCTATTGTGCCACCGGGAGGGAATCCAGCCTGCAACTGAAGGCTTCACAGCCTCATGAATCTCTGAATCAAACCAAGACCAAAAGCTCATCCTATGGCTGGACCTTCCAGTTATACAGGCTAGGTTCAGTTGCATTTCATGTTACTTACAAACAAACATCCTAACTGATACACCAAGCCTACAGTTTTATTACCAAAAAAGTATATATAAATTTGAAGAAGCACATGTGTGCTTTAAGAAGCACTGAAGTGCATGCCAAGAACTTAGAAACTAGAAGTAAAGCTCCTTCTCAGTTAAATTAATTTCATCAGCACATAATGGAGAAGGAATGCCTTGTAGGCCCTCAGAAACAGCTTCTGGATTAAGAAGAACTATGTATCTCATCAAGGCCAATATAAGAAATAACGTGTCTAACATTTAGATCTGGAGAACACGGGGAAAAAAAATGGGATTCAGAGAGGCACATTAGTGTAGCAGCTACATCCGGCCAGGACCTGCCTGGTCTGATGGGGATTCAGATACTCCAATTAGAGGGATGTGATCTCTGCTTTGGGTCTTAAGTCCTGAAAGAATTATCCCCTTATTCTAATTATTTCTAACAATTAATTACCACTAATCCTATTTTCCAGCTTTGGGCAGAGGATGAGGACACTCCCCAGTAACTACAAATGACTGCTACACATGTAAATACATAAATAGAAATGTCATTTGATTCGTTAGCCTCACATGAACTTTGTGACAATGCATCTGATACTAAAGTATGTTCATCTCTGGCTATATTTTTAAAAAGTCTCTGGGCACATAAAGCTATGGATTAGACATTGTTAAAGTCATCAGGTCAAAATACCCTGAGAGGTCAAAGTCAGCCAGCCCCGGTGATGCCCTCTGCCCTGCCACACACAAGTGGCCTTCGGCAGGCATCCCATCCTTTCTGAAAGGGATAGTCCTTTAAAGAGCAAAGCCATAAATGGAGAGGAGTCAAAGATTATGCTGAGGCTCCTACCTGAAAGCCAAGGGAGCAAGGAGAACACACTGTGACTAGGGAATGGTGGTGGGGTTTGCAGTCCATTCATTATACACAAGAGTAGCTTTGAAAATGAAAAGGAAATGATGACAAAACACAGTGCACGACCCTGAACTGAGTTCCTAAATCAGGAGGGGTCGCTGCTAAAAAAAGAGCACTATTAGGAAAGTTAGTGAAATGAGAACAAGTTCTACACAGTAGAAAATATTACTGTATCAGTGTTAAATTTCCCAAATATGATGTTCATACTGTGGTTTTCTAAGAGTTGTTCCAAGGAGATACATGCTAAAGTATTTAGGGGCAAAGGGGCCATGATGTCTACCTTAACTCAAATGGTTCAGGAAAGAAAATAACGTGTGTGCATTATGTATGTGTGTGTACCATATGTATACACACATATACAAAATACATACATATACACACACGTGTATACTCATATACATATATATGTGAGAGAGAGAGAGAGAGAGAGAGAGAATATCAATGACAATGACAGAACAAACGTGGCCAAAAGTTAACAATTAGTGAATATGGATGAAGGTATCTGGGAATTCTTTCTACCAGTCTTGTAACCCTTCAAAATAGAATGTAAAAGAAACAAAAAGGAAGAAATGGCATGCATGTATTTGAAACAAACATGGAGGAGGCAAGGTGAAGAGACAAAAAAAGAGTGGACATGGCAATTTGTTTGAGTCTATACTTAGCCAGTGTGGTGTAATACAAAAAATACATTTGATGTTGGAGCCTGGTTCCTGGCACAGAGCTCCTAAGAACCTTAGAATTTTCAGAGTGATAGGAGTGTCTTTTGTTATTCTTAAGAAGCCCCTTTTGATCACACCTGAGTTTATGCTAATATGGTGACTTGTAGTGGGTCCCCTGGATGGCATCAGGATGGAGCTGGTCACCAGAACGACCAAGTGTTTGGAGAGCTGGAACTTTCAGGCCCACCCACAACCTCTGGGGAGAGCAGGGAGCTGGAGCTGGACATTGAGCTCTATAAAAACTGAACAACAAGATTCAGAGAGCTTCTGGGTTGGTGAACACATGGAGGTGCCAGGATGGTGGTATACTCACAGAGGGCATGGAAGCTGGAAGCCCCACATCCCCCCATACCACACCCTCCCCATACCTTGCCCTATGCAACTCTCCCATCTGACTCTTTCTGAGTTGTATCCTTTATGATACGGCTGTAATCCTAAATAAAGTACCTTCCTGAGTTCTGTGAGCTGTTCTAGAAAATTATCAAGCCTGAGAAGAGGGTCGTGGAAACCAAATTTACAGGCAGTCAGTCCCACAAGACTGCCCCCCACTTCAGGCACTAACTGCACAGGCAACCCAGGACTTGTGATTAGCATCTGAAGTGGGGGTCAGTCGTGTGGGACTGAGTCCTAAAGCTGTGGGGTATGCACTAACTAACTTCTTGTAGTTAGTTTGTTCAACACCCAATTGATGTCTGAAAAATCACAGAGCTGGCTGTTGGTGCTGGAAAACACTGCAACGACTGCAATTCACTTCAAAGCCTCTGAAGTAACTTTTACAAAAACAATCGTAATTGTTCGAATGTCACCACCACCAGAATCAGAGGACTGATCTTGCCTTCCTAGAATCCCCACCACAGAGGGCCCCAAGCTTCCTGTTGGAACATCTCTAATGATAGTCTTAGAGCAATAAATAAGTCTTGTGCAAATAAGTACTTGCTGCTTCTTCTGAAACAAGCTATGAACCTAGAGGATAATGCAACTGACTTTGATATCAAAGCCATGGTTACTTTCTCTCTGATCTCTCCTGCGTTCCAAAGACCCTGCGCTTCACACAGTGAGGAACTGCTGCTTCTCTGGGAAAGGAGCTGGACTCTGTACCTCTAAGACCACCCAATATAGTATTTCTCAGACAATTCATCTTTAGCCTTCAGAATTTATTATAATTAATACTATTCAGGAATGACGGTTGAACGTCCATTCTCTTTCGGTAGCCTCGCCTCCACTAGCCCGCTACATGTAAGCTCTCCCTGTCACCCGTACCTGTCAGTTCCATGCACCCCTAAAGGGGCAGTGTAAAACCGCAGCCCACAGCTCTCCCCTCCCGTGCTCCCACAGCACTGTGCTCACTTGAGAGCGCTTACGGCATCTGGCCTCCTGAATTCCTCCAGCTTTCTCCACAGTGACTTCTACCTTGCTTTTATGACACGGTAGACCTGCAAACGTTTCTTGAATATATACAAATCCCTTTCTAAAAACACACCACCTGCTGTTACATCCTACCAGTCACTGATCTCACCCTGCTTACCTAGTGGGTAGTTCTACCACAAATTCAACTTCCTCAACTACATAACATATGCTTTAAGCATCAGAGTTACAAGTGATTTCACTTTAAGTTATCCTGTACTCTCTTAAGATTGTTCATACTTTTCATAGGGCAGATGAAGCACAGTAGGGAGCTGATGTTTTTCCAATCTGAGATTCCCTTCAAATGACTTCCTTGGTTCTACAAGAAGTACTGCCTTCAAGGAACTTCTTCAAAAGGAAAACAAAAGGAGCAAGGCTGACACTTGATAAAAGTGGCACACCTCCTATCCCACTGCAACAAAAATTCCTCTATGTTGTTCTCTGCTTTCCTATTTTTTTCCAATAAGCAATCACATGTATGAGCAGAAAAATAAAATTTGAAACGTCAGGAAAGTCTCTAATACAGTTTACAAGCATTTTCATTAAAACAATTTTAAAATTGAACAGTTCAAAACAAAAAATTTAATTGCATGGAAAACTCAGCTATCCCTAATGATTCATTCCCAGACAGGCAGTATGTGCACTTTTATAGAGAATGGTTCCAGTGCCAAATATTCAGAGCATTGTGGGAAGATCCATTTTAAGCCACATTATTTACTTACCAGCTCTGAACCAATCCCACTGAAGGGCGGTTAAGTAAATTATCCGGCAGAAGATTAACTTCTCTCATTGTGTTAGCCAGTCGCACAGGAAGTTCCTTTCGGAGAAACATATATGAAGTTTTCTCACATGCATTGTCTCTCCCTATTAAGAGACAAAAAACGTTCTGTGATTTCACAATCTAACAGAAGGAGAAATGAAGTGCTCTTGTGGTAGCACAGTTACTTACTACTGGTTGGGAAGAGAAAATTAAATAATCCTGCAGTCTCCAGTTAAATTTTTACCCTCTGAAATAGCAAGTTTAAGAAAATAACCTAATTAGAAGAGAAAATGAACATTTATTCCAAGAGGCAACCTTGAAAGCCATTTTTTTCTTAACATAAATATGTTCCTAGTGTTACCAGCAGCAATATAAAAGTGACCTGGGATATAATCTGAATTTGTTTTCACATAAACACTGTGGGAAAAGTACCAAGTACAAAAGTAGCAAAACATGTAAATCCACTCCTGTTCATAGGGGTTTCTAGGAGGAAACAGGTCCACTCATTCCACAAATATTGGTCTCCCATGTGCCAACTTTTTTCCAAGATTTTCTTCAAATGTGTTTCTTCAGGGACCAGAGTTCTGGAACTCTGGAAAGCAGCCACAAACTCCAGAGGCTCTGTGATTCCAGAGGAGGGGCTCTGACCTTGACACAGGGCTTGTATGTGCCAGAGAAACCAACTCAGGGGTGCGTTCAGAGGCTGACTGATCTACTATGGCACATCTGAGAGGGTAAGGCACAGTGCTGACTATAAAGAAGGAGGTTAGGAAGTTTTCTGGAGGTTGCTCTGAGCTGGTTGTGTACAAAACTTACATAAACAGGATACAAGGAGAAAAAAGGTAGCTGGCTCCCTGGAAGAGGAAACCCAAGCTCCTTCCCTTCCTGCCACATAGCCAGAGTAGCTCTAGGATTGGTCTTGCCTGTAACCCCCAGCCATGCTGTAAACTTGATGATGGTTGGGGGATGCCCTATAATAAAAAGGACATGAGCTTTGGGGACAGAAATTTCCTCTAGGCCCGGCTCCTCCATTTTGGAGTCATGAAACTTGTGATAAGCTTCACTTCTCTGAGTCTGAGCTGCCTTCATCTGTAAAATGGGGATGAAACTTTAGCTTTCTTTCTTTATTTTTTTTTTCCTTTTTGTCTTTTTTCGTGACCGGCAACGGATCGCAACCCTCAGTGTCGCACCCATACCGGACCGGGACGGCAACGGGATCGCAACCCTCGGTGTTGCCCCCGCACCTCGCTCAGCCAGTGAGCGGCCGGTCTGTATGTGGGATCCGAACCCTCGGTGGGAGCGCCGGCGCACTCCCAAGCGGCGCACTATAGCAGTGCGCCACCGGGCCAGCCCTTAGCTTTCGTAAAGATTAAATGAGCGAACGTGTATGGAGCCTGACACAGAGCAAGTACTCAATAAACGCTGGTCCTCCTCTTGCTCTCCGTGATACTTATGGGTCCATCCCCCTCCCTCACACCTCCCTGACGCGCCACATTCCCTGCAGGCTGTTCTGAAATGGGCAACACCAGGGTCAGGGCCAGAGAGGGGGAAGCAGAGCTCATCCCACAATTTTCTCCTCCAAGTTCTCCTTATACTTCCACATGTGATGAAGGAAACAAATTAGAGTTTAGAAGTAAACCTGATTTTCTAACACTTCCAGTCACATTCTGGTTTATTCCTTTCTTTCCCTACCAAAGAAAACTTGAAATAAAAGAACTCCCTCCTGAAAATCATCTGCAGAACATTTCTTCCCCACTGACCCCTGACCCCGTTCTCCATTTTCAAAAAAAGTTAAAATATTAAGGTCTTAAACAATCCATTCCTCATTTCCCTCATTCTAAGTGCCTTGGACCCCCTGTGGATACTAAAGTCCATGGATGCTCAAGTTCCTGATATAAAATAGCATAATATTTGCACATAACCTATGCACATCCTCCTGTATACTTTAAATCATCTCTAGTTACTTATAATACCTAATACAATATAAATGCTGTATAAATAGTTAGTCTGTATTTTTTAATTTGTATTATTTTTTATTGTATTGTTATTACTTTCTATACACAGTTGGTTGAATCGCTGATGCAGAACCCATGGATACAAAGGGCCAAATGTATATCAAAGGCCTTTGGTAAATCTTTAATCGATGATTCTGTGTTCACTTTTCCCCTTAGCACGTTCACTGTGATAAGTACATTAATCTCCAAATACCCACTCCAAATAAGGGGGAATGGTTGTAATGCCCCAGCAATGACCTGCCAACATCTACTCCATACACATTCATTTGGCCTTAGACGATTAACATTTAAAATGATTCTGGTTGTTTTGCTTCAAATAATATATATCATTCCTAAAAAGTTCTGTATAAAGATAATTTTAATTTTAAATGCACTAAAAGTGCTATTTATCATACTGAATCTCATTATAAAGTGAAGGACTTACTATCTAAGTTAAAATATAAATTCAGATTTTCACATATCAGGAGAAATACTTTGCATCCTGGCTAAACAGAAAGAAAAATTTTTTAAAGAAATTTTTTCACTGTGGGATGACAAAGACTGTCTCCTTGACCAAACTTGAGTCCAGCTCCTCTGAGTCCTCTTATTGACTAAGCCCTGACCCTGGACTTGACTCCATTTTGACCTGCTTAGTCCAGTTTTAGCAAAAATCCTGCTGAGTCATTTTAGTGGAAACCCCCTACCCTTGTTATCTGATCACCCTCAATATCTGATTGAATTCCTCCTCCACTACCCTCTGATACTTATCACACTGGACTGCCTTTCAGTATCTGATCAAATTCCTCCTCCACTACCCTTCTGATATCTTATCACCCTGACCTGCCTTTCAACAAGACTCCAGTTGAGTTTCTCTAGCAAGAATCCCTCTGGCCTTGATGTTTCCTCTTAGTAATTTTCCACCCACTGAACCCCACCCTGCTCCTTGGCTATCAATCTCCACTGCCCTTGTTGTATTCAGAGGTGAGGCCAATCTCTCCCCTACTGCAAGACGCCCATTGCAGTGGTCCCTCTTGAATAAAGTCTTCCTTACCATCCTTAAAAAGTATCATGAGTAATTTTTTCTCTAACAGGAAGAAGGAAGTTCTAGGATAGGGAAGAAGTGTAAGAACCCTGTGATGCTGAATTGGAACTGGGAGTATTAGTATGAACTCATGATTTAAAAAAATTATCTTAGTTTTTTGGGGTAGTGAAAGTTTACATGCTTCAATTTCCAAGTCCACAGCCTATCAGGAGCAGCAGATTGGAAACGTGGAGAAGGGTGAAGAGGGATGGCCCTGAGTGGTGACAGCTGGCCAGCAGGCGCGACACGGTCAGTGTCGGGTCCACGTCTCTTCTCTGAAACCCATGGGGCCAGACGGTTTCAGAATTTAAAGGTTTTCCACTTTTAGGAAGGTAAAAAGGAGTATATACCATACATTGTGTAATATGGAATATTATAGAGACATAGCTGCAGTGAAATATACGAACATTTACAACAGGTAGGATAAAGACTATCATCTCAAGCTAGTTCAGGTTTTACCACGAAATAAGTTTTGGCTCCAAAAGTATGAAAAAGAAACTCAACTTTTAGAGCTTTTTGGACTTCAGAATTCAGATAAAGAACTGTAGTCATGGAGGACAGTAATGAAATCAGGTGCTGGAGTGGGACTTGGGGTTGAACCTTGACTGGAGCACTCACGAGCTTCACGAGCACAGGCACGTTTCTTTACACTTCTAAACCTCAGTGTAACCATCTATACAATAAGAACGGTACCTACTTCAGAGAGGTTTGGTGAGGATTAAAACGTGCTTAACGTTTGACATTAACACATTATTAGAGCTTAGAAAAGGGGGCTCATTAAATAGTAACCACTAATGATGCCGATAATGATCAAGCAGAACAGCCCGAGGCTGGGATGCAAGATCAAATAGTTTGATACTTGGACAGCGCTGAGAGTCTGGCTGTATTTTGCAGTCCCCTGGGTTCACCTTATGATTCTGCATAATTAAAAAAGGCTGAAAGTATGCTCAGTGTCCCTACTATTCAGTATTTTATAATAAAAGGCCTTGATGCTTACATTGGTCAACTCTGCATTATCTGGAAAACTTAACCACCATGCATGGTCTAAGGTAACCAAATTTCAGAAAACATTTTATTTTAGCTTCCTTGGATTATCATTAGCCTGTTATAAACTCGTGTGGAAAGAAACTATCTGTCTCTAACACCCCCCCCCCCCCCCCCCCCCCCCC